CCATTTGGGTTGAGATATTATAACTTGCTTAATTAGTCTGCATCTGGCTCCTACATATGGCATGTGTGGCCAACTAAAGCATTTAATATGAGATGGTTTGCCAACTAATTAATTAATCCCACACCTTAAAATGCATTCTTCGACTTTAATTATGTTCCGAGAGACTAGACTTTAGTAGTTGATTTTATTGAAGAAAAAAGGTCGATACATCACATCACCGGGCATAGTAGGTCAAATTTTATTGTTGTGAAAGTTACTAATAAATCTATTTTATTATAATTCGATCTAAGAAGAAAAAAATTACACTCTATAGGATTTGAACCTACGATATCGAGTTTCGGAGATCTACTTCTTTCTGCTTAACTGAACTAAGAGCGTTTTCTTATCATAATAGATTACACAAATAGCCGTTTGATTTTACTATTTACTTTTTCTAGCCGGTATACATAGATTATACATATATTATACATTTGTCGATTATTTTTAGTTTAAATAATTGAGTGGGCTGCTATTTAGGTTAATTCTTCAATAATCTATTATCCTTTCTTACAAGTGCAATAATTCGTTAGCTTATCTTCTTATCATGAGTAAAAATTGCTTCTGACACATGTGAGTACTTCCTCCGGTCCACAATAAATAATTTTTTTTTATTTTCACACAGATTAAGAAATTCACCTTTTAATATTAATTAGCAATGAAATTGACCATATTAACATTTACTATCTCTTCACATAAACACTCCTAACACATACTCCAATATTATTTACTCCAAGGGTAGTGTAGGAAAAAAATAATTAAGTCATTCTTAAAATCTGGAAAAATCACTTATTTTGGACCATAAAAAAATATCAAAATATCACTTATTGTGGACCGGGGAGAGTATAACCTAACTTGTGCATTTATTAAAAATGAAATGGAAAGTTGGCAAATGTAAATGACAAATTTTGACTATATTGTATTTATAGATCATCGATTAATGGCACATTAATTGGGTGGGCAAGTCTATTTTTTTCAGTACTCTTTAAATAGTGACCAATCTTGATGTACTTGGAAACTCATCATACTCCAAATATTTTTTTCCTCAATCTTTCTTGTTTTAGTATTTCTCCTCTCTTCTCCAAAAACAATGGCAGAAAATTCTCGGAATGGAGAAATCCATTCAAATCTACCCAATTTTCTTCTTTCTGTTAGACTTAAATATGTAAAACTTGGATACCATTACCTAATATCAAATGCAATTTATCTTCTCATTGTTCCAATTCTTGTTGCTATTGGACTTCATCTTTCAACTCTTACACTTGAAGATCTCATTACAAATCTAGCAATGTTGAAATCTTATTCAACACTTGTTGTTTTTTTAGCCACATTATATTTCATGAGTCGTCCAAGAAATGTTTACTTAATTGATTTTGCATGTTACAAACCACATGAACGTTATATGATATCTAAAGAACGTTTAGTAGAGAAATTAGCAGGCATTTTTGATGAAGATAGTTTGAATTTTCAAAAGAAAATATTGGAAAGGTCAGGTTTAAGTGATAAGACTTATATACCAGTAGATAAATGGATTCCATCAAATTTTTCCCTTAGTAGTAACCAACATCAAGCTAAATTGGTTATTGTTGGTGCCATTGACAATCTGTTGGCGAAAACAGGAGTGAAAATCCGAGAGATTGGGATTGTTATTGTTAATTCTAGTATGTTTAATCCAACACCTTCTCTTTCTGCTATGATTGTCAACCATTATAAGCTTGGAGTTAATGTGATTACCTATAATCTTGGAGGCATGGGTTGTAGTGCTGGACTTATTTCTGTGGACCTAGCTAATCGGCTTTTACAGGTTGGTATATCTTCTTTCACAATCTTTACACAAACATTCAGTCGGATTCACTGTTTATTTTTCCTAGCAAGTATACATAGATTATAGGTACAATAATTATATATGGTTATACATATAATATATATAGATTATACATATATTATATAGTATTTGTCTGCTATTTTTAATTTAGCGGTTATGTAGACGGCTATTTAGGTTAAGTGACCTCATGTGGAAACATTTCTATGAAGGTTTTAATAACACTTGATTCCTCATTTTAGTTTATATGGCCCTTGTTTTGTTTTTATTTGTTCCAAATAAGATCAATAATATATTTTAATATTTAGAAACTCTTTAACATTAAATTTAGCCACAGGAATGTCATGCATGTTTAAGACTACGAGTTCTAAAGATATATACTTTAGTATGTTATAAAGTTTTTTTCCTTCAAATTTCGTACCTAGGAAATAAAAAAAAGTATTTTTTTTTGACAAGTTTAACCTCATCTCTCTCCAATAAATTCCTGACATATGAAATTACTGAATAGGGGCAAGCAAACACCTATGCACTTATAGTAAGCACGGAAGTAGTCTCAGCGGCCTTCTACACGGGGAAAGACAAATCAAAGCTAATACCAAATATGATTTTCCGGATGGGTGCATCTGCTATTCTCCTTTCGAACCGTTTCTCGGATCGTTGGCGCTCAAAATATCAACTGATGCACGTTGTCCGCACCCATAAAGGTGCAGACGACAGAGCATTCGGTTGCGTCTACCAAGATGAGGAAGAGGATGGGAAAAAAGGCATGTCATTGTCAAAAGACTTAATGGCAGTAGCTGGTGAGGCCTTAAAAACAAATATTACAACTTTGGGCCCTCTAGTCCTCCCAATGTCCGAGCAGCTCCTCTTTTTCGCCTCTTTAGTCGCGAGAAATGTCTTTAAAAGGAAAATAAAACCATATATCCCTGATTTCAAGATGGCGTTCGAGCATTTTTGCATTCATGCAGGAGGGAGGGCCGTGTTGGACGAACTTCAGAAGAATCTTGATCTCTCAGAAGTACTTATGGAACCTTCTAGAATGACACTTTATAGGTTCGGAAACACTTCAAGTAGCTCAGTGTGGTATAATTTGGCCTATTCCGAGGCCAAAGGGAGGATAAAGAAGGGTGACAGAGCATGGCAAATAGGTTTTGGCTCAGGATTCAAATGTAACAGTGCTGTTTGGCGCGCGCTAAGGAATGTTGATGCAGCCACTGAAAAGAACGCGTGGACGGATGAGATTGAGGATTTCCCTGTTCAAATCCCATGTTGATGATCAGTACTGAAACCGTATAACACAATCAAAATCACTCTAGTATATTTTGTATATGGATTGTGCACCTACCTTTGAACAAGCGGGGTATCTGGAATTACAAAATTTAAGATGGGGTGCACCAGTAGGTTGTTCGAATTTCAATTAATTTCATTACAAATTTTAAGTCAGATANCAGTTTTATTGGTTTGGCGGGTTATTACCATCGGTTCGTTCATAGATATTCATAAGAGAAAGAAAAAGTGCAATGTTGAGATGAGTCACAGCAAAGTGGTTATTTACAACTTTGTACTCAACTATTTGAGTAAAAAATTTTAAATCTCACCAATGGTCTTCTCTTTTTATCTCTATTATTACAGGTTCACCCAAAAAAAAAAAGAGAAAAAAAGAAGAGAGGTGCCATGTGATAATGCGAGAGAAGAGCAAGGTACACATGATATATTTAATATGGCCGGTGCTTTGAGATAGGACCACAGGGATAGGGTGCACCGATAGGGTTGGGTGGTTTGTCATAATGGAAAACTTTGAGCATACTATCCTTCTATACATATAAACATTGACAAATCTAGAATTTAAAGTTTATAGGTTCTTATCGTAATCTCAAATTAATATACAATAATAACTAGGTTCACAGTTAGATATTTATAAATGTTTAATGGATTTTTTAATAAAAATATAGGGTCTACGCAAAAGTTATTGGGTTCGAAGGAACCCATATACTATACTCTAGATCCGCCATTGCATATAAATCTATCTATCAGATTGACGACGAGCACGACTGAGGTGACTATACATACAAATGACAAATCATTGACTATACATATAATATGGTTACAGATATGTATGCTGAGGCATTATACTGAGATCACGGTCTAATTTCAATGGTGGACCTACGTTAAAGGTACGCGCACAAGTAGGTTGACTTGGCACCCAATCTCAGTAGCAATATCATATTAAAAGTAGTTTAGCACCCATAATTTAAAAATTTTGGGTCCGCCGCTGTCTGACACAATAAAACCAACAAAGAAAGCACCTTAGTTATAAGTCACCCTAATTTAAAAAAATTGGGTTCGCCACTATTTGATTCCACAATTAAACCAACAGAGAAAGCACTTTAGTTTTAAGTCCTATATGACTAAGCTAGACTAGATTTCGAGGATGAGTAGTGGATAAAAAGTTATCTCGGAGGTATACACACACTCACAAACTGCTTCACGAGTTGGACTCAAACCAAAATCTCGGATAGCAAACGACTTGCCCAAGAGAACATTTCTGTTATGATTGTGGCTACATTAGCAAATAGCAAGCATGTCCTTGGCCTAACCACGCTATAATTGGGAACAAACCAAACTCCTGTATACAACGTTTGTTTGTAAGTTAATAAACAAATATAACTTTAAGTTCCTTATCACTCTCAATTGATCTCGACACAATCCTAATGCAGTGCTAATTGTCAACCATTACTTAATGAAATGATGATAATCTCAATGTCAGACTACAAGGACATGTGATTGGAATAATTCTAGCTTCGTTTATAGATAACCTATNGCCCATAACCCTAGATCGTTTTCATTACATTGATATCATTAAAATCTGCTCTTTCTCTGTTCAAAGTTTATTATTTATATTTTTCTTATTTAATTAGTTTAGAATAAAATATTTTTAGATTTAATTCTTGTTTAGATAATTGGGATAGTCTAATTTAGTTAATAGTTAATCATAAGTCCTTGTGGGTTCGACATCCGACTTTTAGTCACTTTATTACTTGACGACCGCGTATACTTGCGTGAGTGTGTTTGGTCGCAACACCTATTAAGATAGAATTTGATACCATACAACCATATCAAAATACAGATCAATAGTTAGGTTTGTAACAAAGAGGTCCACACAAGGATGTTATAGTACTCATATTATGTCAGCCATGAAAATGGTCTTATTTAATGTTCAGTAACTCCAATCCAGCTGTCGCCGCTTTCTATCTCTGGCGCTCTAAATATCGGGTATGATTGTTACTTTCTTGCCCTGCCCACTCCCACCACCTCCAATCTAGTATGGACTTGATGTTTGATGGGGCTAGTGGGCGAAGATTTGTAATCATACCCATGTCATCCGTTGAAAAAGGAACTCCACTGGTAGAAACTCGAGAAAGAAAGTTCCTTAGAGCAACTATTTCTAGAAATTAACTCTGTTCACGAGCTACTGCCAGTGTGCCAAAGGTACAAAAGAGCATCATATCTATAATACGTAAAATAGCAATTTGTTGAGCTTACCTCTGCTTCATTATAGAGGGCTGTGTTATCACCACTTTTTGGATAGGAGCCATTGTTGTAATTTGTCCAAAGCACATGCATGCCAAAGTTCACTGCTGGCTTTCCAGTAGTTGGATAGCAACAACTTCGCTTTTGGTCACATTGTGCATGTGGCCACTGAGAACAAACATAACCTTAAAGTTAGAAAGTTTAAATGTGTCCTGAAAACTCCATTAACTTTTAACCGAAAACTACATTCTTTCTATGAGGAACTAGCGATAAGTGGAAGACTTGCCAGCTGAACAAAGTAAAAAAATCAAAACTCTGAGACACAGAGGACAATCAAATATTTCAATATAAAAATCTTGATCAGCATAGGGCGGCAGTATCTCATCCTTGTCTATAGATAAGGTTGTTATTGGAGTTGATGATGGTGTTTACCATCCAGAGCCATACATACACATATGTATGTAAAACAGGAATTATCAAGATTACCAGTGTGTCGATGGCAACAAATTACCAAATTCTGCATTAGTAATAATAGTTAGTTTCATGCCCAAGGGGTAAAATCATGTGGAACACAAACTGCTAACATTAGTCTAACAGGATAATTTGGACAGCGAGCATGTGCCAAATGGAGCCATTTCTTGATTTGACTCCCCATCACAGAGAAGTATGGGAAGCATGCTAAATATTACTAATAAGGGTGAGGCATATGTTATGATAGATACGACATTTATTAGGAATTCTACATGGCAGTTCATAAAATTTAAGCTGGCTAGTGGCCAGAATATCGTCAAGCAGGTTAGTGTAAAACAAGTTATGTGGTCCTCTCTTTTCATGAAACATTGTTACCAAAACAAAAAAAGGGTCGGTGATCCAAGACATATAATGGTCTCATCTCAATTAGGCCTTTGTTTGGAAAATAATGAAATTATGTACCAAACGGAAACACAGTATTTCAAGGAAATTGGTTCTATGCTGAATTTCATTTTCCATAATACAGGGGTATTAATGGATTCAATTTTAAGTTTTCTTCTTGAATTAGTACTGTTTAGTACTTCAGTTGATTACAAGAAAGAGTAGCTTCGCATGTAATTCATGGATTGAAAGAATTAAAGAAACTGAGCAAAATGTAATATGTATGCAAAACTAAAAAACCTACTTATTTTCAAACCTTGGGTTACGCAATTCACCAAGATTCACAAGAAAAACTGTAAGGCAAACTATTTTGATGGCTGATGAGAATACCCAGTCATCACAAGGAAACTCTGCATTTGCTCCTGTTGATGTTAAGGTGGTTGATGCTTGCTCTCTCTAGTGTGCATTCCATCAATTATGTAACCAAAAATACTTTTCCACCTTAAAATTCATGAAACATGTTAATGTGAAGGTGGTGGATGTTTCCTGCCGCAAGAGTACATATCGTTCATTTGTTACCAAAAATCCCCGCAAGAACATTTTCCACCTTCAAAATGATGAAACCTTTGCATATCTCTGATAATTATATTTCGTTTAAAGATGAGCGATATGAGTTTTGCAGCTGAATGGCAATCCCCACAGATTCTAAGGTTTTTAACAACACGAATTGTTTTTCCGGGTGGACTATTAAGAAGACCAAAAGTAATTGCCAATTTTTCACTGTGGTACCTCAAAGTAGCTTCTTTCTCTTCATCTTCCAGGCCAGGACGAAAAGCGATAGAATTATCAGGAACATAACCAAACAATTTCAATTTCTCAATTAACTTGTCAACTTCCTGGTGCAGCTCCCTGTGCTCAATACGCGTAACCTCCCCAGAGAAGAATTCATGCATTATATTGTCAACCTCTATCGAACTACAGCCTGGAATTTTCTTAACTCCTCTAACTTTCATCAATTTCCAGATATAATTCACTTCTTCCCACTTCCCAGCTCGAGCACAAATGTTTGAGAAGATCACATAATCGCCACTATGTGATTTGTCCATTTCGAAGATTTTCTCAAGTACCAGCTTCCCCAAATCCATATTTCCATGAGTGCTGCAAGCAGCTAACAATGTCCGCCAAAGTAAAACTGTAGGGTAAATTGGCAATTCCATTAAGAACTTAAAAGCATCATTAAGGCGGCCCGCCCGAGCCATCAAATCCAACATGCATCCATAGTGTTTCACCCCTGGCACAATCCTGTAGCTTTCTTTCATGCTATTGAAAAATCTAAAACCTTCTTCAATCAATCCACTGTGGTTGCAGGCATAGAGTAGACCTAAGAATGTAATTCCGTCAGGTCTAACGCGTGCGTTCTGCATCTCTTGAAACAAAGATATTGCACAAAGAGCACGTCCATGAGTAGCATAAGCCATGATCATCGCTGACCATGCTTGAGTGTCCTTATAACTCATGCTCTCGTAAACTGAAATTGCATCAGGCAAGCTCCCACATTTTGCATACATATCAATAAGTGCAGTGTTCACCTTAACATATTGATCAAAACCATTCTTCTTAACATATTCATGCACCCACTTTCCGAATCCCAATGATCCCAATAAAGCGCATGATGAAACAACACCTAAAATTGTAACATCAGTAGGCTTAAGTTTTTTCACTTGCAATTCACGGAACAACAAGAGAGCCTCATTTGGCTCGCTACTTCTCACGTAACCCATTATAATCGCATTATACATTACCACACAAGGGTCAGCTATCCTATCAAACACGAGACGAGCTGAACCATTGTCATTACACTCAATGTAAATATTCATAAGTGCAGGACAAACATAAATATCATCATTAAGGCCATATTTAATCAAAAGGCAATGCAACTGCTTACCTTCTTCCAAAGCTTCTGCACCGGCACAAGCCTTCAACAGAGAAGGGAATGTATAAAAATCAGGAGCGACGCCTAATGTTAGAATTTTCAAGAACAGGACAAAAGCATTTAATGGGGTGCCACTACGAGCATAGCCGCGGGCCAAGAAGTTAAAAAGGACGATGTCTGGTTGTGGAATTTGATCAAACAAGAGGTGCGCATGGTGCAAAGAGGCAGGTGTTGGATCAGCCGTGCAAAAATTTATGAGCTTACTCATAAAAAAGACATCATTTTGCATGTGGGTTTTTATGGAAAAGGCTTGAATTTGCTTAAGGTCTCTCAACGATTTGCATTTGGGTACAAGAGAAAAAGGGTCAATTGGTGTGAATGTGTCTTTTCTTGAATTCTTTGTAATGAAATCTTGGCATGAGAAAGTCCCTATTTTAAGTGTTGGAGCAGGAAATGCCATGTAACTAGATTTGGATTACAGTTATAAAATTTCTTTTGGAGGGAAGAAAGTTGTTAAATTTAACGGTTTTATATTGCAAATGTAAGCAGATAAAAAGAAGTGTCAATCCTATTTCGACCTTTTATTTTTCATCTTAATTATCCTTATGCTATTTGCTGTCTTTTTCTTCAATTCAATATAACTTCTATTTCTTTTTTTGAGGAGATCATATAAGTTCATTTTGAACAAGATTTTCAAGTTGTTAATCCGTTTGTATGCGGTCAAAATAGATTTAGTCATTCGTACGATTGATCGGGGTCGAAACATAATGGATCAAAGAAAGACATCGTAATATCGAGATGGGTTCCGAAGGTGGTACAAACAAGCTTTCAGATTTCGGGTATAGATCGAATACCGAGTTCAAAGTCATTATCGAGCTCGGATACGAAATGAACTATGATGAGATGATTTCGAGCTTAAGGGGCAGAGGCCAACCGGGATCGAGTACGAATCATCACCTGATCCCGAGTCCACATCGAGTTCTAGAAGCAACACCGATTAAGCTCGAGCTCACACACAAGAACCGTTGCGAACACACTAAGGGAGAGAATCTCACCGAAAATTATGAAAAAGCTGATTTATCATGGGTTCTCCACTATGTATTTTTAATTATATCTAAAGTAAGATCCTCCACTATAAAGAGGATGGCTACATTTCTGTAGAGGGCAGTTTTTTGGCTTACATTATAATTCAAGTACCATATTCTCCTGGATTCAAGAATTATTCTTTTAAGCTTCATTAATTGACTCATTGTGCTTAGTCCTAAATAAGGGTGGCAAGTGGGCTGGTCCAGGTCCGGGACCGCGGGCCAAACGGGCCAGGACCGTTTGGCCCGGTTTTAGTGGGCCTCGGCTGGCCTCGTGGGTCGGTCCTATGCTGTGGGCCC